TACTAGAGAAAGATTGGTGACTAGAGATTAAATGTTCATCATAGATGGAGTTGCTGATGTTTTTTTTTCTTCAAGTAGTTAATAAAGTGAAATTGAAATATCTTTATAGTAATTTATAGGGAAGCATTTGTTTTGGATTAGTAGCATATCTTTTGTAGGTTTTGGCTGTGGTGTTTGATATTGGAATTAGCTTTTTATGTAACCTGTTTGCTGGTTTTAAATGCAGGTTTTGCATGCAGGAAAAACAAATAAAAATGCCTTCAAGGCTCTCATGGCTGCGGAATATAGAGGTGTGGCTGTGAAATTGGTTGAAAACTTTGAGATGGGTGTCACTTTGTCTACGGTGGTAAATCGTGTCACTCTTCTCTCTCAATTGGCCTTAACTTCTGGGAAGAAACTCCAAACTCCCCAACCGCTCTCCACACTGTCTTCACCTGAAATAACCCAAACAAGAGAAATCCCAATAGCCAAAATCAACGACAAAAATGGAACCTCTCTTGATCACCATGAATGCTACCATCATATTCAAAAGCTTTCAGCTTTACTCCAAGATGGCCAAACTGAAGCTGCCCAAACCCTCACAAAGTCTCTTCTCTGTTCAAAATCACCACTTGATCTCTTCAACCTCTTCTCTGTTACCTCACCTTCGTTGAAACTTGTTTTCTCAAATATTCTCTTTTCCTTGCTAGCTCAATCCCAAATGCACAGTGAAGCCATGGAGTTATATAAGGTTATAAGGAAGGAAGGTATGCTACCTTCTATAACTTCTCTGAACTTGTTGCTTGACTCTTTGGTGTCTTTAAATAAGTTTGGTAAAGCCCTTGATTTGTTTGAAGAAATAATAGGGTCTGGCTTTAGACCTAATAAATTCATGTATGGAAAAGCTATTCAAGCTGCGGTGAAATTGGGGGACTTGAAAAGGGCTTATAAGTTTTTGGATTGTATGAAGAACAAAGGGGTGAATCCAAGTTTGTTTATCTATAATGTTCTGATTAGTGGATTTTGTAAAGAGAAGAGAATTAGGGATGCAGAGAAAGCTTTTAATGAGATTTCTGAGAGAAAATTGGTGCCAAGTTTGGTTACATATAATTCTCTTATTGATGGATATTGTAAGGTTGGGGAGTTAGAAAAGGCTTTTGATTTAAAAGAGAGGATGGTAAAGGAGAATGTGGAGCCTAACATTGTTACTTTCAACACATTGGCTAGTGGCCTTTGTCATGTCCGTAGAATAGATGAGGCAAAAAGGGTTTTGAAGGAAATGGAAGCCCAAGGATTTGCTGCTGATGGGTATACTTTTAGTATTCTTTTTTCTGGGTTTTTGAAGAGTGGGAATGTTGAAAGTGTATTGGCTTTGTATGAAGAAATGAGTGAAAAAGGAGTTGGGATCAATAGATATACATTAACCAATTGGTTGAATCATTTGTGCAAGGAAGGGAGCTTTGAAAAAGCGGAAGAGGTTTTGCAGAATGAAATTGGGAAAGGGTTTGTGCCGAATGAGGTAGTGTTTAATACCATTGTGAATGGATATTGCCAAACTGGTGATATGAATCGAGCCATTTCTACAGTTGAGCGTATGGAAAAGTTGGGCTTGAGGCCTGATTGTGTTACATTCAATACTTTGATAGACAAGTTCTTCGAAATGAAAGATATGGAAAATGCCGAAGAATGGGTAAAAAAGATGAGTGAAAAGGGTGTTTCACCCAACGTCCAGACATACAACATTCTAATTAATGGTTATGGGAAAATGAATGAACTCCATAGGTGTTTTGCAATTATAGAAGAAATGGAAAAGGATGGGATTAAGCCAAATATTGTAAGTTATGGTTCCCTCATAAATTGTTTATGCAAGGATGGCATGCTTCTCGAAGCCAAAATGACCTTCAGGGATATGATAAGTAGAGGGGTGTTGCCTAACGTGCAGATATATAACATGTTCATTGCTGGAAATTGTGCTGCCGGGAAGTTGAATGATGCTTTCGAGTACTTTGATGAAATGGTGAAGGGCGAAACAAGACCGACAATCGTAACATTCAATACACTCATCAATGGACTATGCAAGAAGGGAAAGGTTACTGAAGCTGAATCTTTGCTTCCCAAAATCATGAGTAATGGGTGTAGTCCCGATGTTATTACCTACAACACCTTATTATCAGGGTATTCTAATGAAGGAAATGTTCATAAATGTCTAGAATTGTATGAAAACATGAAGAGTTTGGCCATCAAGCCGACTTTGAATACCTATCATCCTCTCATTAGTGGATGCAGTAAGGAAGGAATTGAGCTTGCAGAGAGACTGTTTCGTGAAATGAAAGAGATGCACTTGACTCCTGATCGACTTGTATATAATGTGTTGATTCACTTGTATTCGGAGCACGGAGATGTTAGGAATGCAGCTTCCTTGCATCACGAGATGGTAGATCGGGGAATTTGTCCCGACAAAATGACCTACAATAGCTTGATTATGGGGCAGTTTAAAAAGGGAAACTTGTTAGAAATAAGGGATCTTGTTGGTGATATGAAGGCCAAGGGATTGGTTCCTAAAGCTGATACATATGAACTTCTGATTAAGGGATATTGTGAACATAAGGATTTCATTGGAGCATACCTTTGGTATCGAGAAATGCTCGAGAATGATTTCCTTCCACGTATCTCTACTTGTAAGGAACTTGTGACTGGCCTTAGAGGGAAAGGAAAGTTGCAAGAGGCTCAGATTATCTGCTCGGAAATGAAGGCGAAAGGAATGGATAATTGGAGATCCGATGAGGACCTATCAGCTGCTGCCAACATTTTAACCAGGGACTGATACCAGATACCACAAAAAGGAAAGTCACTGCATTGAAGGAGCAGTGAACAAGGAGAACTGGAAAAGCTTAAAGCCTAATAGTTCGCATTCAAAGAAAGCTGAAGGTGTTTCATATGTATAATTAGTTTCTTCTGAGCTATGAGCTTCAGTGGGTGGCTTTCATATGTATAGTTGTAACAAGAAATTACTCTACAGCAATGTCAATCTGAAGGGAGCCATGTGCCTTTCTAACTCTGCTGCTTTTCCAGACAGGTTTGCTCCCCCTATTTCTTTTCCTATAATTGTTCTCCAACTCGAAAGGAATTTTCTTCCGAGACAAGTCTTTTAACCCATAATTCACTAGGTCTAAATTTGCATGCAAAATTATGTTTTGCTTTAGTGAATATTCAAGGCTAACAGACTAAACTATCCCATTAATCCGAAATTTTGATGCTCAGAAGTGGCTAATTAGTGCTGGCTGATGACCAGATATAGCGTTGACAAGGTTTAGCTGGTTATCTGGTTCTCTTTTTAAACCTTTCTGAAATGAAAACTTGGGCTAAGAGTTGTTATTCCTGTTTCTTTTGACCAGCTTCGCTATTGCAAAAGAAGGTGAACTTTACTATCGGCACCATTGACGATATTCAAAAGCTTCATATCCGCACAATCCCACTCGGGGAGCACACGTCTCATATGCCATCAAGAACAATCTCGAACCTTTGCTATATGTAGTTTGAAGAACCAGTCTAGTGCCGATGAATCTGAAGTCCATTTTGTTTTCCTGTTAGATGATACCCTCTTGATTCTAAAACATACACAAGACTTCAAATTTGGGCCATAATTCAGTGAAGTTGAAATCGAAAAAAACATGGGAATTTTCTTCTACTTTTCCAGGTCAGTTGCAGTGCCATGCTGAGATCATATACGAAGTTAGTTACCTATACTAAAACTTCACTTATACATACATCTAGATGTTTATGCAATGCAAAAACCTTTTGCTGAGTTCTCTGATGTACCATTCATTACAAGGAGTTCGAATTTCTGGGCGGCCGTGACCGGCCTCAGAGACCTGAGCATAACCTTTCGAGAACCCCATTAACGCTTGGGGAAAGGAGTTTCTTTAAGTCATGGTCTTGTTTACTCGGACTGGGTTGAGATGTTTGCCCTTCCCTTTGCGGGCGGCGCTCCTCCTCATGGTATCGGATTATTACTTGGATGTCCAAAAAAGACTCCAAATGGCCTCCGATGCCGCCTGCAACCACAGCAGATTTGTTACAAAATGCAAATATTAGCATGTCATAAAAATCTCGTAACTTGTAAAAGCAGTAACTTGTAAAAGCAGTAACAATGATAGTAATAGTTATTATTATTAAAGAGTATAATAACTTGTTTAATCACAATAATTCATTCTCATTTATTCCTTTAAGATTTAAAGAATATAATTGGAGTTCTTCAATTACACTTAATTTAGTGAGACCTACAAATTACAATGATTATATCTGTATAATTACAAGCAATTACACCCGTATCTAATTATTACGTAGCTTTTAATATAAAAATAAGATTTGATTTTAATTTAATTAAAGTATTAATATACTTTTCTTATTTTGAACTTGATCTAAAATTTTAATTGTGATTTGATCTATTTAATATCATTTTTATAAAGAGATATTATATTTTAAAGTTAATATTCGGATTTGAACCCGTAGGAGACAGGGCATTATGAACATCCTTGATCACTAAGTCATTAATAGATCTTAATTTAATATTATTTTTAATTTTCATATATTTTTTATCATTCACATTAAATATTAATTTATTTAATTTAATAACATAAAATATAAATATTAGTTTAATATTATAATTCTAGTACTTTATATGTTAATTTTTTAGTTTTTTTAATCAAAACTTAATTAACAAAAATATAAAAATATATGTTTTTTTTTACAATTATCAAGTGAATCTAGATAATTTTTTTTAATTCAAATTTGATCCGATTAAATTTAAAGATGGATCCAACCTAAAATAAAAAATTTTATAAAAGAACTGACGTTATCATCGAATAATTGCCCTCCATAATTGATGCTTACTTATCAGTTTAACTCATATTTGGACCAAAAAGATAATTATCCCAATTGTGTTTTCATTAAAGAACTAATCATTTCCTTGTTTAGAGAAGCTAAGGGGGTTACCATCCGCTACGCCTGATCGATTGCCCTGATCTGCTAATGGATTTGCGAGATTCATCACCGTCATCCACTCCGAATCGAGATGGTTCCGCCGCCCGCGACGAAAACGCCGTCATCTCCGTCACCTCCTCCCTCGCTAAAGACGCTGCCCTTTGCTTTCAGTCTAGGAAGTTCGCCGAGTGCGTCGATGTCTTGAATCAGCTCAAGTCGAAGAAAGAAAACGACCCCAAGGTAAATTATTTCCATTTTTTTCGTATGCATGCATTGGTTCCTTTCACGAATGCGATTGAATCGATTCATTTCTTAGATCCTTTCTTTTTCTTATTTTTTTAGTGATAAGTTCCTTTTTGTTGTGTAATTTTCTGGCTCACTAATAGTTGAATATCTGCTGATTTCTTAAAACAATTAACTTAATCCAATATTGATTATCATTCTGTAAATTCATGGCGAATTTTTGAAATCCCGTACCAAGGTTTAATTATTTTCACGTGGCGATTTCAGTATATATGTTAACTTAATAATTCCAATTGTTGATTTCTTTATTCATACCAAGATGGGCAACGGTTAATCAATAAAATTGTTTGTGGTGTAGCTGTACTCCTCAATCGTTGTATATAGGATATAATAGTCTTAATACATATTCATCACAAGTCAAATGTATATAGTTGCTTGTAGAGTTTTTAACCAGTGGTGTATCATGTGATAGTTTTTTTTCTTGGTGATGATAGATTTAGATTCTTTTATGTTACTGAACTACCAACAAGTTTATTCCATTGCAACAATGTCCTTAGGCTCTGGTTAAGAATGTAGGACAGATGGACTATGGATTTATTTTCATGGCAGCACAAATTCTATTTATCTACTGTAGTTATAAAACTTATGGAGTTAGACTAGAGGATACTCGTCAAAAATGGAATCTGTAGTTGCTGGAAAGTTGAAATTTTCTTTCATGGTTGTCTTGTTACTACTAAGATAGGGCGGAGAAATGTACGTAGTACATGTGTTTCTTTTAAATGATGTGTAGATATTGGTGATCTCTTTCAGAGAGGAAATGGTGGAAATTTTATTTTCCAAGAAAAAATTTATCGGTGTGTTTTACTTAATACTAGCATGATATATAAATTTTGGTTTTAATTCCCAGAAAGACTAATGTTCAGCAATGTTTTCAATGCATGCACTTAGAGGTTTCAGCTCAAGACCAGACTAGGGCATTAACCGTTTAGAACAAGGCTTATGTCGGGTTTCCATTTAAGCACATTCTTTTGTAAGGAGTAGGTTTAACGTTACCACTAGCATGATATATAGATGTTTGTTCCAATGCCCATAAAGACTAATGTTGAACAATGTTTTTAAGGCGTGCACTTAGAGGTTGCACCTCAAGGCCAGACCAGGGCTTTAACCCTTTAGAGAGAGGCTTATGTCTGGTGCGTTTAAGCACATTCTTTTGTAAGGCAGTAGGTGTAAAAATGTTTGGCGGAAATTCTCTTTTATTTTCTCTCCTAATTCTTTTTATTAATTTTACTTTTAATAGTCAAAAAAGGGTGAACAAATCAAATTTTGTACTTCTCGATGCATGTGTATTCAATAAAAAGCACAAGACCTTAATAAAATAATGTATGTTGTCCATAAAATATTTTCATGCTTTGTAGAATATATGGAACCATTTTTACTGTTTATTATTAGAATTATATATTTGAAGCTTATTTTATTTAGGCAAAAGGGTAATTTTTGCCCCTATAGTAGACTCAATTTATCACTTTCACCCCTATCGTGTTTTCGCATTAATTTAGCCCTCGAAGTTGCTTAATTGCATCATTCTATTACCCTACCCTAACTTAAAACCCTAAATTATAAACCCTAAACCCTAAACTATAACCCTAAACCCTAAATCATAAACCCGTAACATGTAAACCATAAATCTTAAACCATAAACTATAACTTAGGGTTTATAATTTAGGGTTTTAAGTCATAGGTAGGATATAGAGTGAAGCGATTGAGCAACTTCAAGGGTTAAATTGATGCGAAAACATGATATGGACGAAATTGATAAATTGGGTCTACTACAGGGGAAAAGGTGACCCTTAAGCCTTTTATTTATGTATGTATGTTACTAAACATAAACATATGGTATAGAGAAGTTGCATTTCCTTGAGCTTTTATCTAGCTGCAGAGTACAATGATGTTTATTGGCCTTGTAAATTGTTGAAAATCAAGTTGCATTTCCTTGAGCTTTTATCTAGATGCAGAGTACAATGATGTTTATTGGCCTTGTAAATTGTTGAAAATCTAAGTATCTACTATCTATGTTTCATTACTCATATTGGGATTACATAAAAGTTTTAACTTTATAAAGTGTTGAAAATGTTATCTCGGAACTAATTTTGTTGAGTGTTGGTTAATATTAAACCAAGGCTCATTGCCTAACTATATTAATTAAAATCCTACATTTTTAACTTATAAATAAATTATTTGCAAAATGGAATATTTTTAAGTTTTAGAATTATCATGAAACTATTTTTTTCATTTTAGGCCGTCTCAAAGATGCATCTAAATCTCCAAGCCAAAGAATGTCTTAATTCAAAAACTAAACCGGCTACAAAGAATAGATAAAGAGTATCAAACACATACACAAAGGCTTGTTAACTTATTATTATAAGATGTGATGACTGTAAAGGATAAAATGATGATCATACAGCTTACAAATTTTATTCATTGCACTTACTAAACAATGTCAATATGTTCAGCTTGGTAATATTATGTACCCAAATCGTGTCATCATACATAAGTTCAGCTGCTGTACGAACTTTTAGCTTGAATGCTCCCCTAATACCATCATTTTATTATTATTATTATGAACTTAACTTTGACAAAAAAACTAGAGCCTTAAAACGACCTAAGGTAGCTACGAAGTTCAAATAGATTTTAGTCTTGCAAGTGAATGTGACTTTATAAAATGTGCTTGTCATGTACTGAATTTTGATTACTTGATTGTTCTTATATTCTTGTTTGCAGATTGATCTTATAATCCTGTTTGCAGGTGTTGTATTCCATTGTTATCGTATAATTGTTGCCTTAACTGAAATTGCGCTACTGACAATTGCTTCCCTTCAATACTTTTGACATCTTTTACATGTTTTTCCTTTCTGTTTGCACAGTCTAAGTTTTGGTTCCAATGATTCTCAACAGGTTCTTCATAATATTGCAATTGCGGAGTTTTTTCGGGATGGTTGCTCAGACCCAAAGAAGTTACTTGAAGTCCTTAACAATGTCAAGGTACTACCTTTTTCTTACCTCCCTTTAGTTATGTGGCTGATTGGCTGTGATCTCCATCCTAATCTCTCATAAATCTAGTCATGCTCCTGGAAGAATCATAGTCCTGCCTTCATCGATTTCATAACTTTGTGGTTTTGTTTGCTTGCCTTCATTTGGGAATGATTGTGGGCAATGAACTGTGCTGCAGATACTGCAAGGCTTTAAACAAAAAAGGAAAAGAAAAAAATATCATCTCTTAATACTCAAATGTCATCTTTTGGGTGAAGAACCTTTCTCAGTTTAAAACAGAGTTATTTCTCTGCTGTTTTCAATTGCAATATACTGATCTCAACATGTTAGGCATTTACAATTTGAACTATGATTAGCTTTAGCATGCAACAACTGCTATCTAGTAT